CGGTTTTAGGACAGCCCCCATATGCTCTTGGCAACCCAAAACCAAAAGACACACCCTCAACCCGAAATCCTGCACTAAACCCGAAGCCCTCAACCCTGAACCGACCATAAACCAGCAAACGCTCAACCTCACGATCCCTGCTTCGCTCGACCACCACAACCTCCACCTCGCGTAGTAAGTACTTCAGCGTCTCGTTGCGGCTCAAGATAACGTGAAGCTAGATGCACTCACATATCTGCGTCGGTCTCACGTCTGCCTGTACGTTGCATGTAGTTTATCCCGTCGATCCGCACAGACATAAGACGGGCAGTTGAAGCGCAAGCTGAAACAAGGGCCGACTGCTCTCCAAAGCCCGAGGCTGTAACCGTGGCTCCGTTCGGAGGACCGGCCAGCAGGTGAACGTGAGATGCAGCCCAACTTTTTTGCTATGAAATGTGTACAGTTTTTTTGAAACGTTGCAACACGGCCCAAGGCGTTGGCATTGATAGCTGATGGCTACCTGGCTGCTTAGTCAAACATGAAAACTTGCCTACTTTTCCTGTCCTTGATTCCTTAGCTGACAGCCCTGCAAGATCGTGCAAACGCTAAACCCTAAGCCGTCCAAGAACCAGGCATCGGGCTTGAGCTGAAAGACTCGGCACGGTGCAGGATTTTGGGATTTAGAGTTTGAGCACATTTTGTGCTCCAGGGCTCGAGGGTTCTAGGGTAGTTTACGATTTAGTCTCGGGGCTTGCGGCTTAGAGGAAGCGTTTCATGCGCACTCAGGCTTTTCGCTTCTGGACCGTCCGAGCTTGTAGCGGAAAGTCAGGGAAGCTCACTCAAAACCCCTATCGAAACCCTAATCCGATGTACCTACCCTAAACCCTAAACCCTAAACCCTAAACCCTAAACCCTAAACCCTAAACCCTAAACCCTAAACCCTAAACCCTAAACCCTAATATATAGTAGACTGCAGGGTTTCCATACATTCGGATTGATTAGATCGGCCTATGTACCTATGTGGTAGAATGTAGGGGGTTTCCACATTAGGAATTACTAGTATGGTCCCCCCCGCAAGGGATAGAAGCTCATAACGCGCGTGTACGGTAAACCCCTCCGATTGCCAGGCAACGTGGTTTGGCTTGTTTTCCTGCGAAACACCTCATCTGCCACACCATCACTGCAGTGGGCTGTCGCCCGCTGTTGCCGACCTGGCACAGGCACAGAAGAATTGCAGTGCCAAGTGCGGCTTGCTTGTCAGAATAAGGTTATCGAGTATAAATGACATATATCACACTATAATTCTCAACTTGCGAGCCTTACCAGGAAATGCGATTACTGCTAAGTCTACATGAGTTTTCCGACGCTCATACTAAAGCCTTGTCTGTGAATTGACATTTGGCACCGCCACGACAGGAAATGCTGCTCACTGTGACCGTCGGAAACTCGCCTCGTCTACAGGTTCTCCGATGACTCGCTTCATTTCTCGCCCTGGACCGCGCATGTCAAAATCCACGGCTTCAGGCCTTCCCAAAGAGCCTAATACCCTTTAGTTAAGCAATAGACCTTAAACTATAAGGTGGTTCATATTATGATCTAATTAAAGCGTATTCCTTAATTAAGGGGTATTGAGCTCTCAGGCCGTTTTGGCCCTGTAAAGTTGGCCAAACTCTAAATCGCAGCCAGGCGGAGTACCACCCGAACACTGGCGCGAAGTTGTGAAAGCACCGTGATGCTACCCCGTGTCCACGGGATCATACTTCTACAATGCGGCACTCTTTTTTAAAAACTGTCTTTTTCATGGGAGCCCAAGAGCACTCTTCAGATTCGTACTTCTCCTCATAAGGCTCCTCCTCTGTGTACGGAATCTCATAAGGCTCTTCCACTGTTTGGTTCTCGAGGTAGTCCTCTGCAAACTCCATTTCCACCTGCTCCCATCTCGGCAGCTGATCGTCGAAAAGCTCCTTCGCACGGCGCTCCTGCCGCTCCCATAGATCGTCCAGGGCCGCGATGGGAATGCTGGGCACACGCCCCAGCGACGCACGTAGGTCCTCCAGGCTTTGCTGATGCAAGTCCTCATTTTGTTGCTGGCTTTCGGATCTACGTACACTGGCCTCTTCATGTTGCGTATTCCTATGCTGGAAAAGGAAAATCTACCAGCAAACATGCTGAGAATCCGGGCCATGCCATTCTACCAGCTCCTTGATGCCCTGGTTTTCCATGACCTCACGCAGGAGATTGATCCTCTTGGCCTTGTTTGGGGCGAGGTTCACTTTGGAGGCGACGACGACGGTGCCGTGCTTGGCATTGGTGCCGAAGGACGTGAAGAGTGAGGAAAGCGTCTCGCGTATTAGCATAAGGTCGTTGGACATGCTATCAAAGACCAGGAACTTCACGCGCCGAATGCCAGCTTCAGCCAGTGCAGTCGCCACCCAGCGGGCAACATCCTCAGCACTGAAGCGAAGTAGGGTATCCAGGCCGCCGGGGTTGTCACAGACGTACCCGATGATGGTGTCCCAAAGCCGGGGCGTGTCCGTTGTGGACTCACCGCTGCCATCGCCCTTATTCGGGCATTCAACAGTAGTTGATTTCATGAGTTGGCACACCATGGTGGATTTCCCCGCCTGACTGGGTCCCCAAGTGACGATCGCCTCAGCACCGTCTTCGGAAGAGTTGAAAGGAACCTCCACCTTCGTGCTCTGGCTTGCGGAACTACGGTCTCGTAGCGACTCCCGCATCTCCTTGATGATCTGCTGCCTTGCCTCGGGGAGGAAGTCTTCAAGGGAAAGCCGATATTCGATCCATTCCGTGCGGTTGACGTATCTGATGGCCTTCTCAAAGTTGGTAACGTTCTTCATCCCCTTCTTGAACTTGGTCACATTCCTCAGGGTCGTCCGTGTCCTCGTCACGGGCTTGCATTGCTTTTGTGCGGGACCATCCTCCACTTCAATTGGAACTTCATCGCATACCGTCTGAGTCCTCCTCCTCCTCCGCCTCCCGCTGAACCATCCAGCAGACACGCCAACAATCTCCAAAGAGATGACGCTCACAGGAAGCAGAGAACTTCCTCGAGCAGAAGCCGTGCCGATGAGCAGCAGAGTGAACAGGAGACGCGATGCATTCATGTCGGGTGCTGTCGGCGATTGCGGATCGACGAAACGTGTGCCTTGAACTGCCTGGCTGCACCCGGACTTGACCTGCAAAGTCGGTGTCCCTAAACCCTGAACGAATACAAAGTTTTGAAATAGCCAAAACCTTGCCAAAACCCCCACACATCAGAAACCATCGAAGGTACACATTTCGAAGCCCAGGGTCCTTATCCCCGGGGCCCTATATGCCCAAAAAGTCTTGGGGGGATTCATGTCGTGCTTTTAACGATACGGGTAGTTCTCTCAATTAGGGTCCCTTTTTGGGTCCCCAGCACAGTACGGCAAATTGGGAATAAATCTAAACCCTAAACCCTAACCCCAAAGGGAGCCAAATTTAGATAACTACGCATAAGCCTCCTCAAAACCCTAAACCCTAAACCCTAAACCCTCAACCCTAAACCTTAGACCCTAAACCCTCGACCCTCAACCCTAGACCCTAAGCCCTAAACCCTAAACCCTCAACCCTAAACCCTAAGCCTCAAACCCTCAACCCTAAACGCTAAACCCTCAACCCTAAGCCTCAAACCCTCAACCCTA